AAGGTTCCGTGGATTTTTTTTATTCTCTCTTTGAAACTTTGAGCACATTTGCAAGCTTTTTGTCATCTACTGAATCTTTTTTTAAGGTTCAGTAAAGTACCTTTTTTTTTTACAGTGTACTATACCATTCTTATTTTTCTAATCTACAAGAGAGCTGAATGCATTGTTTTTTTAAATAAATATTCTTTGATTTATTTTTGATTAAAAACAAATAATTTTATAAATAAAGAAAAATGTTATTCAACATAACCCAGGTCGAACAGGCACGATCGTAAACGGTCGTTTACGGAGAAATACGGCAAAATATATGGTCCAGTATTACGATCGTATATGGAGCGTATACGACCGTAAACGAAGTCCGTAATCGTCGACCTGGGAAGCCAAAAGGATTGGGATGATGATTCACATAAAAATGGTACGTAGAATTTATTTATAAATGAAAAAATTTCCTTCTATGAAAATGTCTTTTAGGCCATAAAAGTCGTATACTAGGAATATCATCTAATTATTCTCAACGTCAATCATATTCTTCATGTAGAATAATTGATAAAAAATCATTTCGTGATGGACAAAAAATATTGATTCATATGATGTTGCGTCAACAAGTGCTTCAAATGCTGAAATTTATATAGAAAAATGTTCACGTTTATTTTCGTCCAACAATTCCTTCATCTATACTGAATCCTAAAATAACAACAATTGCTAAAAGATCATCAGAAACAGGAAATGGTATTTTGTCTTTTTTGTCTTTTTTGATTGAATTAAATTAAATTGGTTTTTTTCTCTTTTAGCTGGTCAACGAATTGAAATTTATACAAATCATTTTAAAATAAATTTTTGTACACCACCAAATAAAATAATTTTATATCAATTTGATCTTGGTGTTGAAGTATTAATGTCTGATGGTTCATGGCAGAGATGGACGGGTCGCGGTGCCACACCACCCCGCCCCGTCCCGCAGGCGGGGCGGTGGCGGGGCGCCGTGAGATTTCGCGGTGTACCGCCTCTTCATAATACTGCACTTTTTTCAGTATAATCAGATCTTTAGAGATATCTTTTAATCTTTTTAAAAATGTCTTTACAAGTATTTTCTGGTAGAAAGAGTTATTCAATCGAACACCCAACTGAGAATGTATATATTTGTACATGTATACATTGTCGTTGTTAAAATTTATATAACAATATTCATTAAACCTTCGTGGTAAATTAAAATTTGA